AGCGGACCGATTGTATATATGGGCCACCGTACATTAGTAACAGATTATGATAAAGCTAACAGCTGCGTGTGTCATGATGATGTTATACATGTTGGCATACGAGTAGACGTATCCTATCTACAGTACTTTAATTCATGCATAATGGTACCCATGTTCAATTGGAAACTTCTATCCGTAATGTTAATGTTCACAGCAATGTGTTCGTACTTGTTGTCGACCTGGTACACTTCAAGGGACGACTTGATTCAAGGGGTGTATGTGATGAGAAAAGTTTTCTCTGAAGACATCCACGAAAGTACGCGCAATGCAGCAAAACTTATGTATAATGGCACCACCACACATTTCAGTAACAATACTGTCACACGACTCGTGAATGCAACTAAAAATACTGATTCATTTGAACGGGCTAGTAAGCTATCTACAGACTACCAAGCGGGCAATTCTTCTCTTTCAAATTCGATGACACAGACGACTGGGGGTAAGTGATGCTGATCGGTTTATTTTTTGTCGCTTTTACTTTTAATTCTCAGAGACCACGATATTTAGGAAGATACTAACGCTGCATATACCCGATTGTTATTGTTTGCTCGTTTTTTTTCTGATGAGCCTCCAATCTATAATGTGCTCACGGGATTGTAGCGAGTAGAGGTGCTTCACTCACAGTTTACGGCTCCATCTATTTTGTTTTTCGGGAGTTATAGACGAACTGCTGGAATATTTTGAAAATGCAAAAATATGCAATAAATTTGAAATATGTTGACCGTGAATTTATAACATAAGGGATGAGAATGAGAAGTACTTCACCCTACTCTCTTTCTCAGCAAAAACATCATGATATTACCAATAAATCTTCACCGACAAATATCAACACAAACAAAAATTAATCTATCAGATATGGGAAACTGACAAAGATTAATATTGTGCTCTTCCATCTGAGCATATGGTCAATAACCATTAGATAGGTTACACACTCAAGCAGTTGGAAAGTAATAGTATTATTCTAATGTTGCTTTATTGCGTAGGTACTAAACAACCGTGTCTTTTCTCCAACTTGTATCGAAGTATCATAATAAAATATACTAAAAAATAAAGATGAATGGATGGATGGAGTAACAAACAATGTTTTAAGTTAGAAACATTTCCTAAAGTGTTTGTTTCATGAGTTACCGTGATGTGATGACGTGACATGAATAAACGTAATCGATAACCATTAAACAACTCCCAGAATTGCACCATTGCATCATGGGAAATGTAATTTCCCGCCCAGTTGTTTACTTGGTACACATCTGTTATCATTTCAACCGGAGGTGTTAATTCTGTGTGCTAACATATTATGCTACACTCTTGTTTTCATTAAAAGGACCTATTGAAACGCTGTGTTCAAAACTCGAGGACGCCAATTTCTATTGAATGCAGATTTCTGGGTTTATTTACTGGTCGACAGTGAAATACTATTCGTTTAAACCAATACAGTTACGGTAATGCTAGAATCACCAACAAAAAACATTTTTGGAACAAAAACCTATCGACAATACAACTGGTGTCATTTTTTGCTAGGCGTTTTCTCCCAGAATAAAATTATGCATGGGCCATCACACGACCGCCTGAGGCGGTCTTCTATTTGAGTGTTTGTTATTACTGTCTGACTGCATGTTGTCATTGTCCTCATTCATCCACATAATACAACATTGATTTGTCTAAATTTCCATAATGCAGCGTAACATTAAATCCTTGGCCGTTGAAACCCGACATTTCACAAGCAATGTTATAGAGGAGTTATGCAGTATTGAAAATAGGAAGGTGCGTTGCATATGTGCTTTCAATCGCCCAACCTGAAACCGGTTTGTAATCATGCTTCGTTGTATACCACTACTGCAACAGACACTTAAAGATGTGTGTACTTCTATATAATTCTACTGCCAATACAGCTGGAAGATACTCTTTATACACATCGACAGACTGTAGGTAGGCAGATGCTATTTGTAATAAAGACATTTGGAATATGATACACAAGTTCCAAATGATCGGCCTACTACTCAAGTCAGCATTTTGAATACTTATTATCCAAGTTATCCCATTAAGCTTACACTCGATAATGGGCCCAGTCTTACCCCCACAAAGAAAAAGCAGATTTCCACAGTATAATTCCACTGCAATGTTAAATTTGATGAACTTGATATTTCCTAAGCCAGAACAAAGTTCAGTGTTACAAATGTCTCAACCTGTAGTTTCTGGTATGAATGGAAACTGGATGGCTGAAGTCGCCTAGATTCATCATTTAGTGAAGTTGCCTAATATAGTAAGCCTCAACCATCAGTAATGCCATGTGTGAATAATCTAACACGCTACACTGCTGGATGGAATATATTATTGAAACAGATTTTAATCAAGCTTATTATCAAATCGCACTGGCATTTCGTCAACAAAATATTGTAGAGCTGCGACCACATGTAAGGGAGTTGGGTATATACATACTGCTTGTTCTTGGCGATCGAATGCATGGCCGCTGTGCTTAAGAATAGCTAATGGTCTCGATATTGGGGATAATACCTCTGATAGTGTCTCGCATGACTGGTGTCGCACACTTAGAGCACTGCGCAAAAATAATATCTAAAATTTCTTTGGTTGGATTTGATCAAACAGCGCAATTAAAGTGACCCCACGCACAATTGCTGCTCTCCCATTGATTGACCCACCTAACACTGTTTTATGGCTGCAACCATTTATTTGAGCACACACAGTCGTGTTCTTCAAGGTTATGCAGATCCCTTTGACCACTTGGAGCAGACAACAGCTGCACAACAGTTGGCTTGTAACTGGACATGGAGTTTATTAGACTCATTCAAATCCCACACAAGTTGCACTTCGAACTTGTAGAAAGATTAAATAACCTTAGCCAAATTACCAATTGTGGGTCATCACGGATGCATATGCAAAACTATCTATCTATCGGGCTTCTTTAATGCTAAATTGAAGAAACATATCCTTGCATGGGTTCTTTGTGAAGTGTACCCCTTGTGCACAGGGGGAGCTGTAAATCACTTTGCCTCTTACATAATACAATCTAAACACAAAAACGTACCTATGCCTGGTGGTCAACGCTGTGTTCAAGCTTATGAGAAATTGAGACAGACGAGTTCTCAGCTAGGTCACTCCGTTTTTGTCCACATTGAGTCGCTACATGATAAATGTCTGACATATCACAGGTGTTTTAAATATGCGTACCCATGTGTCATTGGCTTGCTCACAGGAGTTTATCTCGGTTTTAATCGTCCTTCCATGCCTTGTGGTCCGACCTTGCAGCGGTGTCTACAGTGTGTATATTTTCAACCACAACCTCTTACCATTCGGGTAGCTGCATTGGTGCGTTGTGAGAGTCGCGTTTAGTGCTGCACCAAGCAGGGGCGGGCGATACTGCCGGAGAGAAATGTACCAAGCATATATTTTGTGTACCTAATAAACTATTGCTCCACGTAATTCATGTGTGGCGTCGTATGTGTAAGATTGACCGGTCTGCAATTGTCAAAGCCTGCTTATTGCTATTGAAAGGGGCACCCACAGAACTCACACTGGACAGGGGGTTCTTTCACTGCTAGAATGGGGTAGACAAGAAAATAGTACTGGAAATAAAATACACATACACCAAAATATCAAGTTAAAGCTCCTGGCTTTAATACCTCTCAAAATAATTACAAGAAACAAGCACAGAATAATACAATGAATAAATTAACTAAAATAGGGAATTGCTTAGAGAAGTGTGCATTGGTAATAACTCACAGTTCCTGGTTGTAGACATTGACGACAGTCAATAGCTTCTGCAATACAATGACGAAGAAATACAGGAGTCTTGCTTGCAGAGGAACGCTGTTATTCTGGAGGGCACCAATGATAGCAGGAGATCGCAGAACAGTTCACACAAGTCTCACAGAACGATGATTGAAGCCTGCATCACTTGTCTCACAATATCGCAACAGCAACACACAATTGAAATGATGGACCCCCAACTGTTCTCAGTGTAGGCATAAATGGCCAAGATTCAGGTACACCATCTGGGTTTCAACATGAGCCATTCAGAATGTGGTCTTGCTAACAGCTGTCTCATGTAGGCAAGTCTGTAGATCGTAAACATCCTTTGTTATTTAAATCACAAGCACACCTGGTAGATTCCAATTGTTCTTCCAGAG